CTCACCTTGGCACTAGTGACATTTGGGGCTGGCTGGATGATTCTTTGCTGTGAATCTGTCCTGCACATTGTGGGATGGTGAGCAGCATCCCTGGCCTCTAGCCACCAGATACTGGTAGCATCGCCTGCTCCCAGTTGTGACAACCAAAATGTCTCTGGACATTGCCAAGTATCCTCTGGGGGGCAAAATTGCATAGGCTGGAGGAGTTGGAGGCATATTCTTAATATTAGGTAGATAAAATCCCAAACTGCTGAAAAGCCTGGCTACATACATAAGGCAGTCAGTATTCTTTAACAGCAACTAGAAATTGCCTAGGTTGAGAATCACTGCTCTAACCTAATATTAATAGAGGAATAGTAATTTTCCTGCATTTAATTCAAAGCTATGGAAACAGGCTTCAAGAAAGAGCATATGTTCCACATTTCGCCTTAGCTCATTGTTGAAGACTTTGGCAGTGACAGCTCTATCTTTCTCAAATGATTTGGTTCACAAATCCTCATTATTTTAGGCCACTTTCTCCCTGGAACAACTTTATCTTTGGAGATGCAAATTCACAAACTCTAAGCATCTCTTTTACACTAACTATGCTCTTCAGCACTTAATTTCCTTATTGGGCATTTTTGTTTAATTATTTCTAAATAATCTGTAGACTGGCTAAAGGAACTCTGTACGAATCTATAATACAGAGTTAGCAATGAACTGAATGGTTTTTATCTACTTCGTTACAACATTTAAAAAAATTATTTTAAAACCTAAATAAAATGAATAATACCCTTCATTACATCCTACCTCAAGATTCTGTCTCTAGAAAGAAATTCACCATTGCTTCTGAAATTTACTTCTTGTAATCTAAAGAATATGCTAATAATTCTATTTCTTGATTTATCTTGATTTATTTTAGATGTTATCTATTTTCTTCCTGTTAGTGCATGAGGATTTCACATTATTTCAACCTCTCCTCACTTCTCCTCCATAATCTCAATATATTACAATTTTTCTTTAAATCATCAGTGTTTAAATAAGCTGACAGTGGGCCGGGCTCGATGGCTCAGCCTGTAATCCCAGAGCTTTGGGAGGCCAAGGTGAGTGGATTGCCTGAGCCCGCGGGTTCGAGACCCACCCGGCCAACTTGGTGAGACCCCATCTCTACAATAAATCAAAAAAATTAGCCGGCCATGATAATGCGCGCCTGTAGTTCTGGCTACTCGGAAGGCTGAGGCGGAAGGACCACCGGAGCCCAGTGGGTCGAGGCTGCGGTGGCCGGGAGCGTGCCACTGCACTCCAGTCTGGGCGACGGAATGAGACTCCAACTCAAAATAAAAAAAAAAAAAATTAAAAAAAAGCTGACAGTGTATCCTGACATCCTTAGTGGCCTCCTCATGTTAATGTCCCCTTTTATTGTCAGTGTGAGTATATGTTTTAAACAGTCATTTAAAAAAAATTTAATGGTATTTTGAGATGAAGAGGGAGTAACAGTATATGGTCATCACAAATTTAACAGGAAACATTATTTTTGAAAACTTTTGAAAGATTACATAAAGTCTCAAAATTTTATTGTTAGAAAGTAAAATCCATATTTTACCCTCACCTCTTGCATTTAGCATAAATGATAGCAAGGCATTTTTTTCAAAAGTAAGAAACAAGTATAAAATGTGATTTTTAATTTTTCATAAAAACAATTTTTGAATTATAATTCTTACATCATTGTTACCACCAACAAATCAGGGCCATCCAGAAAACACAGAGGATTAAAAAAGATACCCTACTGACATGACAGATGAAGAAGATACTGGGTGAGAAGAAACATGTATATCAAAGCCCACAATTTGGAAATTGTGGGAATCAAAGTCAAGCAGTTAATTACTATCAAAGATGGCAACCATGTTTCTTTTGTCTTTCACAGTGAATGCACAATTAGCACTTACTACTGAGGAATAAACCATCTATACTCTACTAAAAAAGACCATCTGCTTCTATAAATTTTGTTCTCATACACTTGCCAAAAGAAGAGAACATATTAACAAAATAATGGGCCCTACACTGTTAATTGCTAGGTTGTTTGCAGTTGTGCTATTGCTATTAGAATTTAATAAGCCATTCCTTCTGCTAAATTAATAAGCAGCCAAGATTATGTAATAGCTGCTTTCAGCTGCTAATTATTTTTCCCACAATTCCTTCCCCTCCCTGCCCCCACCCCCACCTTTTTTTTTTGGCTAGGAACACCCAGAGGAGACTGCCAATATGTCATCAGCAAGTCTCCCGTCCTCATTTTCAGAGCCACAGAGTAACATTAGGAGCATAACCAGTGAGCTGAAACTTGGAAGTGGCTATCTCAGGAACCCTGAGTACATATGTGTTTTGTACAGAAAAAGAGAAAAGTAGCATTTGGAATCAGAGGGCGAGTTTTCATTGCATCATGTAGTAAGAGAGAAATGGGACACTGGCAAGCACCTTTGGGGCATGATTGGGCAGGGGGCAGTGAAAAATTTGGTGGGGGGGGCTAAAGAACTACAGAAGGTCAGCTCTGAGCTTTGTGTCGTATCCTTCTTTTAATATTCCAGTATACATTCATCATACATATTAGTAGGAAACTTTCCAAGCAGCATAGCAGTACTGAAAAAGGAAGGTAGCATACATTTTTTATTTTGCCAAACAAGGGCATTAAAAAATACCCCCCAAATTACTATCTTAGTTTTACAGACATTGTAATGCACCAAAAAAGAACATAATTCCTAATAAAAGATTCCTTAAATTGATTACATTTAGTTTTAGGAAAAATTTAGCTTTTCTTTTTTACTTTAGGCAATTACAAAATTCTGGCGACTACGTTTAAGAGCCTTTGTAAAAAGAGCATGGCCCAACAAAAGCAATTTTCTAGCTTCCTTTGTAAGAACCTAGGTGACTGGGGTAATGAATAGCATTCGACTTGGGAAACCAGTGGCTGTTCAAGGAAGGTCACCGAATCCCGTGGGGCTCCCCTTTCCTTATCCGTAAAAGATGAGTTGGACTAGATTCATCCATTCAATCATTCAGAAAAATATGAACATCCATTATGTGCCCGGCATTATAGCGCTTTAAAAATTTCTATAATTTTATAGTTTTTATCAGTCAACTCACATTTATTAGTTGTGTTATATACCCGGCAGTAAACTAGGTTGGAGGGTAAAAATGAATAAAAGTCAAGATGTGCTAAGTAGAAACTAACGGGTACGTGGGTGAAAGAGGAAATCGTTCTTACAAGGTTTTAGGGTGAGGCTTCATAGATGTGACATTTGACATGCCAGGCAGAGCAAGTCGTCGGCAAGGCTGGTAGGGGCGACCCCGTGTGAAGGAAGCGGGATCTCGAAGATGAGGTGCTGTCTGGGTTTTTCAGCGAATCGGACGGTACTCGTCCAGTCTGCAGCACTGAGAATGGGCGAGGAAAGCCCAGGGACGAGTCCGCGAAGCTCGGGGCTGTAGCAGTGCAATGGGAAGATGGGCAGGAGGTGCCGGATTCCGGCCAATTTTGAGGCCGAACGACAGCAAAAGGCCCTGTGAATGCGTGACAAGCTCCACGAAAGAGCTGACTTGTTTTTTCCAGAGTTGCAGCACTCCCTCTCTCTTCCCACTGTCATCATCAGCCGCCACACCTCCCCGTCCCACCCTCCAGGGGCACGGAGAGTTATCGGGGCTCGAACTTGGCTCTTCGCGGTCCGGACCTTCCCTGCTCTGCACCTCGGGTAGAATAAGGGCGTCCTCCCGTCCCTAAAGAATCCCCCGCGCGCGTCCCGGAGGCTCCGCTGTGAGTGCGCGGGCGCGCCAGCCCCAGCAAACGCCGCTTCCGGGTCACGTGTCTCGGCTTCCGGTTCGCCCCACCCCTCTCGGTGGAGAAGCGGCCAATCGGCTTCCTTAGACTGTGCGGTCACCTGCGCTGCCTCCGGTGTCGTTGGTGACTGCCGAGCCGCTTCCCGCGCGTCGCCCAGCCCGCCCCTCCACTAGCCGCAGCCCCGGCTCCTCCCTCGTCCGGCCCCCGGGGCGGGGTCTGTCGGCTCGCCCTCCCCTC